GCAATTAAGTGGTTAGAGTTATAGAGTTTTATTTTGATGTTTCGGATTTTCATTTTCTTTATTTTACGACTAACTTTATGCAACTAACTTGATAAAAATAAATGAATTTGTTTCTATTTGTTGTTACTCTTTTTATAATAAAAAGTCTATTCTTAGAGTACTGACTGTATTTTGTCATTAATCCAGTATTGTTAAAAAGTAAATACTATTTCACGTATAAATATAAATATCATTGTGCTTACAATTAGTAAATTCCTCTAAAGTACTTTAAATTGAACAAAGTTATATTTCTTTGTTACGAATATGTATAACTTATAATAGTTATTTAAATAACTTCTTATTTAAATAACTTAAAGTACTTTAAATTGAACAAAGTTATATTTTTTTGTAACTGATATTGATAGCAACTAAACTGTAAAAAATGGTCATGATCGGCGCAGGGGCAGATCACCCCTCCTTATTCGGTTACGGCCTTTGGAAAATTCATGCTTCTCACATGGACAGCTGTATGTAGCCTGCTCACGCGTCGGAAAATCTTCTGATTTATTCGTGTACGCACCAGATGGAAAAACAAAAAATATTGTGTATCCAAAAGCACTTCAATAAATGGAATTAAAACACAATAAGCACTTTCTTTTCTTTAAGTAGCATTGCAACGCATGTCGGGTAACCGCTAGTATTTCATAAATATTCACTCGTGAATTGCAAATATTTTACGATCATTTGACTTATTTGTTGAATTAGCTTTCGCAATATTATTTTACAAAATCGTCAAGTCATAAAAAAAACATATGTTACTATAATAAATTATATTATGAAAATAATTCTCAAAATTATTAAAAAAAAATTATTGTAAATATATTGATTAAGAAAGTTAGTCTCAATTATATATCGCATAGGTTATCAAAATTGTGACGCTGAAGTACCGTTTGAAATATTTTAGCCAATGGTCGTTGTATATTAAAAAGTTATTAACTAAATAATGTTATATAATGTATGTAATTAATGTAATAAATAATGTAGTTAAGGTAGTAAGTTAAATAATGTATAAACTGTGTTCAACTGTATAATTTGAACGTTACATATATAGCATAAATACCTAATTCTTATTTATATATGTATATCTGCATATTTAAATAAATACTTGGGAGAAGAGCCAAATTTTTTCTTTCAAAAAATTTTTAACCTAAATCTAATTTTAAATGTCTGTGATTAAGTTTCCAGTCAGAAATGTTTGATTAATGCGACGTCGAATCAATGTCGAAAATTAAATGTCGAAATTCTGGTCGATTCGACGTCGAAAGCGTATAAAATATCAACGATTACTCAACTATCATTTCAACGTCGATTCAATGTTAAACTAAGGTCAAAGTTCGGTTAAAATAATATAAACTAATTTTTTCAATTATTTCGATAAAAATACTAAAAAATAAGCAGTGCAAATAATCTAAACCAAAATAAAGACTATATTATAACATTAGAAAAAACAATTTACGGTATTTTCTACTTTCTATTTTCTATCATTCCTTCCAAAGTAATACCCGCATTTAACGGTCTTATTATCCAAGCTACGATTGCCACCAACATTGCTTAACTTCTGTGATTGGAAACTGCAGATACTTCGTGTGATTCAGAACTACTCGATGTTAATAGATATATATCCGTGATACATATCTGTGATTAGATCAATATATCAATTATATGTGGATGTCCAATAAATATTTATAATTATTTTGTTCTGTGTGAGATAGTATGCTGAACGGAAAGAAATCGGCACTATCTGTGTATGTATGTGTGTTTGTATGTGAGATCAATTATGCGATTTCCTAAATGTTCAATGTAAATTTGATTCATATTTTATATATATATAAAAAATTTTTACAATATTTCATATATAAACAAGAGGCGAATCGCTGAAAGCGACATCGATCGATGTCAATTCGACTAATTATTTCTAATAAAATATCATACAAATTTTTTTTAATCTAAAGACGAATTGATCAAATTTTGCAAATGCGTACAAAAAAGCACATATATTTCTTCTGATTGATATTGCAAGAATATCGAATTTCTTATCGACTAGATGTCAACCATATCGATGTTGAATTAACCTTGGATCAAGATTACATTTCTGACTAAGGTTACAAATTACATAAATATATCAATTTTGTTCAGATACATATTTTTAAAAAACAAAGCAACAAAAAGTAAAATAGTTCTAAGGCTGTAAGATATGAATTAGTAATGGTATTTTTGAAGATAAGATTTTCATTAAAATTGTTTTATAAAAATTTATTTTTATGGATTTTATTTATTATACTTATATCAAAAAAATTTAAAGATATATTATATTAAATCTAGAAATGTTTTTTACATTGTTATTTGAAAAAAACAATTTTTATAAAATATTCTAAATTACGGCACTTACATACAATCAAAAAGAAATTATTTATTATAACTTGTCCCAAAATAATATTTACGAATGCCTCTTAATTAAAACATTTATTGGCATAAATATAATTATGTTTTGTGATTCTTGAAATAGGGAGCTATTGTAGTGCTTTGGTACGTTATGTAATCTGGTAATTGAACAGCTTTTAGATTCAAAGGCAATAAGAATAATTTTAAAAATATAAAGCTATTTAATAGCAACTGTAAGAAATTAGCCATATTAATTTCTGTATTGGGGATACCTGTAAAAGCGTTACTTTGATAAAATATACAAAACATTTTACAAAACGTACAGAGATCCTTATCTTATAATTTACAAAATAAAGAAAAGGAAAATACATGAAGAAATACATTTGCTTTGATAAGATATACAAATCATTTTACAAAACGTACAAAGATCCTTATATTATGATTTACGAAAGAAAGAAAAGGAAAATACATGAAGGAGTACATTTACAGAAATTTATAATATTTAACCAAATTTAAAAACACTAAACATTTCTAAACATCAAACAGATATTTTGCAATATATAAATTAAATATAATAATTTTATACACCTAACGTTTTCGATTTAAAATATCTGATTTCAAACTTATTTCTTTTCGATTTTCTTTATACATTAATTGCAATATAAAAAGAATAAAAACTTTTATATATCTAATGTACGTTAATAATATATGTATGTAATATACGTTTTTAACAAATATTTTGCAATATACAATCTAAATATAATAATTTTATACATCTAACGTTTCAATTTAAAATATATGATTCAAGCTCTTATAACAAAATATTAAGATTTGGACAATTGTCTTCATAATCGCGATATGACAGGAATAAAAATAGTAAGAAATTATAGATCTATTAGAAAAAAGTAATATAACTTGATAATTTTGAAAAACATCGACAAAATATAAGTGTTTGTGGCTCGCTCTTTGAAATTACTGAAAACTATACACCTTGTTATATTTTCAAAATGCCATATGTATAAAGTATAATATATTCAATATTTTATAACTTACCTTTTATATTAAAATTGTGTGGCAATTTAAATGTAAATTTCTAACAATTAATTCCTATATATTAGCGTATAAACACATAGAGCTATTAATGCCAAAACTGTTCAAATGTAATCTTAACATTGCAACTCAGGAACTTAATTACCAAAAGCAGGCTAATAACGCAATAAATTGTAAGATTCATACTAATTGACAACATTATGAAGCACCAAGATCCGCTCTGACTGTTGTTGGCGCTTTTCGATCTTCATTGCTAATAACGTATATAAGATCGTTAGTAAAGTCAATGTCTATCACTATTTATCTAATGCTTTTAGAAAATACAGGATATTCAATTCATTAAATTCTTTCTCTTCTTTCGATATACCGAATAACATATTAATAAACATAAAAATATAATTTTTATTTTGCACAAACTTTTTATTTTTTTATTGTTTTTATTAATGTTTTTTAAATAAAATTATATATATATAATTTCCATAATTTAAATATTGTAATTAACATAAAGAAAAATTTGAAATATCTTGAAATCAAACAATTAAAAAATATTTATGAGGTCAAGTCTTTCATTTATCCATCAGAAAAAAACGAATCACTATAAAAGGCAAATGTTACATGCTAAAATAACTATTTTCAACTTATGGATTTTCAACTTACAAAGCATATTTAGCAAGCGTATTTTTAAAAAACAATTTAGAAAATATATGTCGAATATCATCAACAAACATCGTTTTTCGAAGTAAATCTA